CTATTTTTCTGGATTGATTACCTCCGAAAGCTTTCCTGACACGAGCTTTTGTACACTGACAAAAGGGAGGTGAAGGAAAGCATCTTGATTAGCTACAATGCAGATCAGTTTCTAGTCAAGCTTGCCAGACCAGGAAGAACAGAAAGCATGTGGTCAGAAGATTGCATCTATCATAACTTAGGTTTTATGGGGAAGAGTAATCCATCCTCACATTTTCACAGAAAGCAGAAAAACTAGGAGGTAATACTTAGAGTTGAGCTTTTGCATTGGCTGGCTCAGTTCTACTGAGAAATAGTAACAGAAAGAGCACTTAGATTTGACTGTCAAGCAAGCTGTAGTTGTCCTCATAATTAATGTGCTGCCTCATAATCAGTGGGTTCCAAACAAGAACCATGCCTTGAGCCATGCCTGGATTCCTAAGGTCACCGGCCCTCAGCAAACTTTGATTATTCTCAACTGCAACTATATCAGTGTACAAGTCCATTCAAGTGTCCCTGAAAAAATATACTTTTTAACAAAAACCCACAAAAAGGTTTTTATGACTATGGAAAGAACTTGAAAGGCAAATAGAATTGCTGAGCTACTTCTGCATAGTATATTAACATCCTCCAGGGGAGTATAACGTTTGTCCTTCCCGTATATGAGGATCTAGCTCTACTGCTAAATTCAACCCCCTGAAGCCTATAAATACCACGGCTTACATTGTGCATGAAGTTGGAAAAAGATGTATCGATAACATCTACAACTGTTAAGCTGTTAACTAGCTAACAGTTACTGTAACTGTTAACAGAAACTGTTAACTAGTGCTAACCAGGTGCTTTATCTGTGTACCACTAGCTTGCTTTCCAGTTGAACTCACTTAATTTTTAGTAATTGTTCTGACACAGATTATCATTAAGTAGTTATGTGCCATAAATGAGACCTCTCTATTCTCATGTAAAGTTATGCTGTGATTCGATAAACTAAGACCAAAGTACACACAGGGGTTGAATTTATACATTATTGTCATTCAGTTGCAAATCACTTGGTATTTCGAAAGTTTCTCTTTTTTGCTTTGTCAGCAAAATGTAGTGAAAACTTAATTTCTAACACATAACACTACTGAAATTGTAGTTTCATGGGTTTACTATTTCCTAATTTATGGAAAACATGAAAGTACTATTAAGAATTGTTGCTAAATCCTGTAAGAAGTCCAGACTGACTCCCAACAATAAGCTTCATCAAATAGCTATATTATTCAAGAAAAGAAAAAATAAAGCAAAACAAAAAAAAACCAAACAAAAATGTGACACATTTGTGTATATATATATTACAGATGTTATGTTCCATCAGAGGCAAAAAAATTCTGCTAATATGAAAAAAATCACCATTAGAGTGATAATCTTCGGTAGCTACAGATTCTGCATATGTCAGTGCCAACTAATTGCTGCACAATTTAGGAGGGACCTGGAGAGATTTTTAGGCCTGATTAGTCTCTACAGTGATCTTGAATCTTTTGCACAAGCCACAAATCATGTAATTTAGCTGCCTTACAATGACTCCAATTTATGCTGTGACATGGAAGACAACACAGTCCGAACCAAGAAAGGTGAAAGGGTGACAGCATCAGTTTTATGCACCTTGTTCTAACACTCCTCAGCTGCAATTAAAATTGAGATTTAGCAATCACTTGGTTCCTCCTACGTAAACTTTATTCTCTGAATATACTATATCCTGTCATAAAACCCTTAAATAATTCTTATTTGCTACAAAACCAGCAATCCTGTCCTAAATTCAACTTTGGTTACAGTTACCTATGTAATAACATATGTTGAAGGAATTATCAAATATGAGTGTGAATGAAATGCCAGACTTGCACTAATGCAAGGTGGACAATTAACTTGCATTAAATACCATAGAATTTGTATAATGTGCAGTAATTTCTTCCCTTCACAAGTTTCCCACAAATGCCACGAAGGACTGATTAGCCCTTCTGCATCAGTTGTGTTTCAATCAACATATTCCTTATATCTAGTGGTGTGCATTTTATACATGCTGATTGGTTGCTTTTTTTTTTTTCTTTTAATAGGAAGGAAAATTCTTTTCTGTAGTATATCTCCCTGGGCCACTTACTTGGGAAGAAAACAATGTGGGGAGTCCTGAGGACTCCAAACAGTTTGCTCAAAGGCTATTTCCTACCATCCAATAAAAAATAATTATCATTACTCCAGCTGTCTGTCTCTCTGTATAATTACAAACAGTATTCATTGTATCCTCTGCACTACAGTATGCATGAAGATAAAGATCCTGAGAATTCAGTGCCTGACACAGGCTACCTTTTTGCTGACTTGAAAAGATGACTTGAGCACGCTATTAACAGCATCGGTCATCTCAGATCTACATACTCAAGTACTACAAACAATGCAAATAAATGCTCCTTTGCTGTATACTAAATCATTCCTATTAGGTACATACAATTCTTTAGCCAAATAATTTATTAAACCTTAACTTTTATTACACACAGAAGTTTAAAAGTAATACTAAAGTTTTGTAACTCGTAACAGAATTAATTAAATGCCAAGTAAAGAAGTTGCCAGTTTCTTATTTGGACTATTAAAATTTTCACTATTAATTTCAAATCTATAGAGATTTCAGCTAAATCAGCGTGTACTCATTGCTTGCTAACTCTGCTTGACAGCTTGTATCATGCAAAATGTAGCAAAATAGTTCTCTTATTACAAGACAAAACACATGGATTTTTCTGATTTTGCCTTTCTGCACCCTTAGGATTAATGCAAAATTGAGAGTTTAAGAGAGATGCAGCACACGGTAAGGATGAGGTTAAGAATGATATCAGACTTGTCAAAGCATCAGTGGAAGGGTCACGAGGGTCATCTAAGCTCTTCTGCCAAAGTGCCTAATTCAAATTCTAGTGCTCAGTTAAGTCAGATTCTATTATTCCGTTCATGTTTCTATGAATATTACAGTCCCTTGTACATGATAATCTCCTTAGATGAAGAGAGGAAATTCACACCTGACTTGATACTACTGCAGTTTGTGGCTGAAAAAAAAAAAAAAGGCACTTCAGCTAACCACTTAGGATAGGTGTATTTAACATCTCCTAATGCTGCTTTGCCATTACTATTTTTTAGCAATTAATCCCTAAGAATGGGAATAGATTCCTTTTAGTTACATTCCTTACTACTAGTAGGACCACCTGAAAACACAGGTTGACCGCTTTTGTCATCAATGTATCAGTCCCATTCACATCTGTGTACTGCCACAAGCAGGAAGAACAGAAGCTTGAAGGTCAAAGAGTATAGGGAAGCCCAAAGGAAATATAATGTCAAATTTCTACCTGTGCTTCTAGCAACATAAAAGATTACAGTCTGAACAATGTTACCTTGTTACCACTTTATGAACAGTTGCAACGATTCTACATAAAATGCTACACCTTTGCAACTCATTTGCTTTTGAAACCAATAATTTAAATGATAATTCATGATATCTAGTGAAACGCTGCTAATTCTTAAAATTACTTTTTAATGAAAAAAAAAATAAAAATCAGTGTGAAGTACAGACTTCTAGACAGGCTTCCTTCTGCACACATCGTAGAGGCCACAAGTTATTTTCATGCTTTTTAGAGTGTTCAATATATTTCACAGAAGTACAGGGACGCTGCAGCTACACAATGTTTTCACTAACAGCAGCCTCCAAGAGAAAAAGCCAAGAAATGAGCCAATGATAGAAAATAAAATGTTTATCTGAGATACAAACTCCGAATTCATCCCAAAACATCTAAAGTGTTGACCTTTGCAAGCTGTGAGTGACATAAAATCTAAAAAAAAACCCCAACCCCCAAAACCCAAACCACTACGATTTAGGAATCTGAGCAGAACCAAAAAGTTAGAGCACCTCCCTGGTTATCAAAATGCACTTCCACTGCAGATGTGAGAACTTCTGAATTTTGCCAGGAATTCAAACAGAAGCTGGCTTGGCAACAGCAGTCTCATATGGGCAGGGAAAGCTTCTCTCCTGAGTGGAAAGATAACTAGATTGTGTCTTAAGTTTTACAGTTATTGCTCTGTCCCTTCCCTATAAAACTGGAGGTAACAAAACATCACACACATTTTCAATATGCAAATGGTACAAATATAACATATAAGAGCAAACAGCCCTCACACATCTGTCTTAGCACTTGAGACTTTACCAGAAAGAATGGAGAGAAGGAGCAGAAATTTACACTGCTGTACTCTGTAAACACACATCCCCCAGAAAGTCTTTGTACACATCTTACTTTACATAATGACTTTATTTTCTGGAAGCATTTGCGCAAAAGACAACACAAAGACCTTGCATCAATCATAAAATTAGGCAAAGTTTTTGTTTTGTCCATTTTGAAAGCTGTACTACAAAGATGAGGAATCTGTTATTGCAATGCTTTATAGCTCTGCTGTTAGGAATGAGTTAGAGTAAAATTTCACATATAAAGCTCACAATGACATTTTTCCTATACCAAAATTTAATTTAAGAGGGATATTCTGCATTTTAATAAAACACCTCACAGATTTCAAATATATTTTTATGGTTCTCTAGGGAAAATGGAGCAAATTGCATTTTACATCCACTGAAGTTCTCCTGCTGATACTTTAAGATATATTTTCTAGTTTTGTTTGAGTGCCAGAGTATTTACATTTTCAAATTATCTGCCAATCTAGATTCTCAGTAGTTGCTCTTGTTATGATTATTTTCTCTTTTGACAATATGTTCACTATTAATCAATTGTTAAAGGCACTTCGAAATGCATTCTATGACTAATCCAGGAAGTTGTTTTGTGTTGATATGTTCCTCGATTGTTTTCACCGGGAAAAAATAGATCACTGATTAGATTACTTTCCACACTTTATATATATTATATGGCTCGGTTTAGCCTTAGATTTCATAATTGTTGTAGAAGGCTCATTAGATTAGGTGTTTTCCTCTCAGAGAAGACCTCTAATCTCACTTTCTCTCTTTCAGTTATGAACCAGGAACTGGGATGACAAAACAGGATTAAGACCCAGCTATTTAACTGAAACCCCAAAATCCAGGATACCTTCACCGCATGAGACAGAATGACAGGTTATTCCTATGTGCTAATTTTCTCCATTCAGGAATGGCAAAGATATAAGAACTGTATGCCTAGCACAGAGCTAAAATAATTCCATAAACATATTGTGAATCCTTACTCATTTGTGGCTCTAGGAGATTTACCCTGGAAGTTCTGTCATTGTACATGCAGAGTCTTGTCCATGACAAAGAAATGCATTCTTAATTTCAGTGTTCTTGGAAATGTATTGCCCAACACAACCCCAAGAACTTCGCTACTAAGACTGACTGACAAAAAAAACGCATATGGATTTTTTTTTAACACCATTACTCAATACTTCATGTTTTCCTTTTATATTGTTATTCCAACATATTCAGATATTTAGTTGAAATGAAAGTTACATTTTAACAATTAATAGTTGTAAAATGGGATTCCTGACAGTTATATAGAATACCTTACAGCTCTGCTTCACAACTTTAGTTGGGAATCCTGTTCCTAGGCTACCTAGGATATGGTAGGTACTAGAGAAACAGCAGGTAAGCTGGCCTGCCCAGCAGAGCTGGTTGTCTGCAACTCTGACCAGATGAAATGGATGGCTACATAGAGAAAGAGAAATAAGTGACTATTTGTTATTGGTGTTGAATTTACAACTGTATGCACTTAAAGTCTATATTAATATTGAAATTGTGATGCCCTTCAGCATATTGGAGCAAGTTGCTGAACCCAGAACTCCTGCTGAACTAAACATGACAGTTTATGACTGTTCACCAAACCTAAAGATGCACAATTAAATACACATTAAGTGCAATTGATTAATTAACTGGTATGCATGCAGCATAAATTGTGTGTTACACTTAAGTAAAAGTATATTTTTTCTTGCTTGATAAGGTAGTTTGGCTATTGTCTTCACTGAAGACCAGACATGTACTAACAAGCTCTCATGGTGGAATTCAGGTACTGCTGAAGGCTAACCGAAGATCACAGAAGCGTACCCCCAACTAGAGTCTAGTAGAAAGTGTGTTACTGCCCAGCTGTAAACGGGAACTCCCAAGTAACTGCATGGCTCAAATGGTACATTAAACTTCTAGAAAGATTTCAAAGGACAGACTGAAATTAATAGAGTATTTTAAAAAGAGGATACACAGCAGAAAAATACTCATTAAAAAGCAATATGAGCAGAAGGAATATTACAAAGATATAATGTAAGAAAAGCTATACAGAAATACAGCACCTGCAGATGAGGCAGACTGATTTCAGTCTGCAAAACAAAAAAGGAAAGAAATTGCATCAGGAAAACTATACAGAGATCAAGTTGATATAAATTGATGTACATTAAGCAATTAACTGTAGCTATCAGATTTGTATGTTGTGGTCCCTGATCAGAAATAGAAAAAAACCGAGACAGTTACATTTCTGTAGATCAAGGAAGAATTCACTTGACTAAAATGTCTTGTGAGTTCTTCTGGAAAGGAAAGCGTATGAAGAGAGCACTTAGGAGATGTACAGACAGCAGTGCCGTGTGACCCTGGGAAGTCACTGGCCCATTGTCTGCACCTGAACACTATCTGGTTTGTCCAGTGGAAATTATCACAGAGCAGGTTAAGTTTCAAAGGGATATTCTGTTTTATCACCTTCAGTCATTTTGTTCATCATTCAACTTGAGGTAGCTCACAAAAATAGTATCTAAGTTAGGCTAAATATGTATGAAAAGCAAATGAAGGGCATTACTGTGTCTACAGAAATGAAACAGTCATTGCAAACAGAAGCAGAAGTAGTAAAGTATTAAATAATTCATATAGCACTTTGAGGAAAAAAAAAAAAAAAAAAGCTCACTGTGAATTGCATATGGATATCTGTTTTTATGACTGGAGAACTGATCTTGAAACTCCAGAAAAGAATTTCATGTCATTAATTTTAAATTCATAGCATTATTGAAAAGAATTGTATGAAGATCAATAAATAACTATAATTATTGAGGAAAACTATGAATAAAACATTAAATTGCAGGCTGTAAGCCTCTAGGCACTTTGCACCATTAAATATATTTCTATTTTTATATCTTAACTCTCTGAAAAAAGGAAGAAAATGAAGAACTTTAAAAGAAAATTATGATTCTTTTACTGAAAGAAAAAGAACCTTGAACACCTTCTTTGTTATGAATAAAAATTACATCAAAATGAAAGTCAGCTTCCAATACCATATTATTTAAGTAGAAAAGAGCAGGAATTTGTTCAACAAGAGAGAAATTGCAGGGTAGACTACTTCCAATATAGCATTCTTTGGTACAATACATATATTCTGATGTACCAAGTTTTCTGAACACTGGCATACAAAAGCACATCTCAAGAAGGTAAAAATTATTCCTAGGGATTCAACTGACGCAGTAGTTACAAACAACTACTTTCTCTTCTTGTCAGGAGCTCATGGTCCCTTGAAAATTTAGTTTGAAGTCCTCTGATTTCTAGATTAATTAGATGAGAAAACTACAATCTTTTGATGCTTTCTGTTTTACAGTTACTGTGTAGACCGAACAGCTCAAAGGTTTTTCCATAAGAATATATGTTGTATACAATCTAAAATAAATTGTAACTAAATTTCGTATATTTTTGTTGTAAACCTTTTCTTGGTATCATTTTATGTCATTTCATTATGTAACAACTATTATGATGTCAGTGCAGAATTTCTGTTGTTATAAAACTATGTGCTGTAAACTGCATTAATCACAGAACTACTTCTGCTTCATAACGTGAACAATGTTTCATTTCTTTGTAATGTTTCTGTTTAAACATTTATACCTTGTTTCTTTGTACAGTGCAGTTTCTACTTTCTGATTCTTGTTAAAAGCTTCTGATTTTTTTCTGCCTTTTAAATTTCCAAACTCAATTGCTTTTAACTTATTAAGTAGTCATTTCCTTCTATTCAGTGTGCCTTTATTTCAAACGTTTATTTTGCAAGTATTTAGTACGTGTCATTACAAGTTTGTCAGGTGGTCTGCATCACTGGCCTTCCACTGCCTTAATTACTAACATCCAAGTATTGGTCAAATGCTTTTAAAAACCACGAGGCTGCACATGCCTCAGTATGAATCCGATACTGTGCAGTCTTCAGCACTCTTCCTCCTACGTGGCAAGGCATGATAAAATAATCATGTGCTTGCTTTTTTAATGTAGAACTAGTTCTATACGTCAATCAGCCATATATTTAAAATCAAGTACAAGGGAGATAAGCGTACAACATACACACCCTATTATTACATTTACTATTAATTATTGTGAGATCTAAGTATGTGTTCTAATTTTCAGCTTCATGAGCCCTTCTCTCCTAGATCTAATCTCTTTCGTCACTTTAGCAAGCTCTGTTCTGACGCAAGACCTTGAAGTTTCCTCACCCTCTTAATCTATTCCAAAACAGTCAGAAACCCTTTTTCTGATTTATTGTCCAAATTTATTCTTGGCCAATAAATACAAATATGGCAGCACATCAAGGTCTGATTCTGTATCTGTCAAAGCTTATGGCACCCCTAAACCGAATTCAGTAGACTCCCTAATTGGCGGTAACTGCCAAAGGAAGTTACCGTGTGGTTTTTTTCCTCAAGTGAGAGACACTTCCATTTGCATTTACTGACAGAAAGTTGACTGAAAGTTTCACTGTTACTGAATCAAAAACACCAACTGGGTGGCAAAAATTCAAAATTAACCATACTTTCAGAGGCCAGTTACACGCTACTGGTTTGTAACTTGTGGGGGTCATCAGGCCAAGCTGGAAATATTCAGCCCTTAAAATAGAAAATGGGTATTAAAAATGTTGGACAGGATGATAACTGAACCCCTTCTCACTTCATGCACAACATTGTGTTACACATATTCCCAACATCCAGTGAGTAAACTAATACTGAAAAAAGCCTGAAAAAACTACCATTTGCTAAAGGAAGAGAGCAGGAGAGACCCCGATACTTAGAATTCCTAGAACTGTTCTGGATCAAATGAAAGGTCTGGTTTTTCCTGCTTCGCACAATGATAAGATAAATAAGGAAGACTGGAGAAGGAAAGGAAACAGTCTTGAAAGATTTTTTTTTTTTTTTTAAATCTCAGCAACTAAACCCATTTGACCAAGGATTTATTCAAATACTTAACTACAGTTTGAAATAATTTTCTGAGTCGTGTCACAATATATAGATTAAAATTTAACACTGGAATCAATGCAATCTCTAGCCAATATCAAATTTTAGGCTGGAGCTTTAGACAGAAGTTTTGTTTTGTGCAATGACCAGCAGCAACTCAAAAAAATCAAGATGAAGAGAGAAAAATAGTAAAGTTTTAAAGTTGTTTTTTTAATTGCACCTTCACATAGGGGACTAAGATTTTAAACATTCCACAGTTGTGGCTAAATAACTTCAAAATACAAATCAGCTGGTAGGACCATGTTGTAGTAGAGCAGTGTTTACAAATGTAGGTAGTAACAACCAAGATGCTGCCTACATAAGTGATGTTTATCACCGAGACAATGCCAAACACTGAATAGTGCTAGAAAAAAAAAAAAGTATTGTCTAATTGTAGGGACCATAAGGCTTCAATAACTGACCTTAAAACACAAGAAACAACAGACGTAATCCATGTTATGGTGAACCTATTTCTACATAATAACATTTAAAAAAAATAAAATTTTCTCAGTAACTTACAGTAACTTAACTATTTGATTATTTTAGTATTTTAAAAAAAAAAAAGTCTACTGGTATACCAGTTTTGATCAGAATAAAATAGTAAGTTTTTAATGAATCCTTGATTCTGCTACAGCAGAGAAAAGGTAATGCCAATAAGACAACACCAAAGTAGGAACAAAACCAGAATTTTGAATAGTTACTGACTGAGGGCGACTAAAATTGTTTGTCTAACAATATCTATAGTGCATGGTAGGCATAAATACTGGCGCTAGAAAAATTATCACTGTTTCAGAACATATACACCAAATACTGCATGGAAAAAATGCCCTTTATAATGCCTGACACTTCTCTAGCCTCTGTTGTGCCAGTGTTGATATTGCACTAGAAGGTAAGTGCAGTGAGCCCTTTAGATCTGCAAGTGAGCCCCACAGAAGCCAGATAAGCTGCCTCGAATGTTAGAGCAACACCCTTGCGCTTTTGCCTTTTAAAGAGTTCAGCCTGATCAACAAAGCAGAAATTTTGAAGACCACGAGCATGTCTGAGCTGTTAAAGAACACATGACATGACTGTTGGATAACCCATATAATGATCACTTTCAAAGAAAGCAAACTACCAGGAGCCAAAATGAACTGAGCCATCTGTCCCTCTCTAAGAAAGCTATGTATATCAGGAAAGAAGTTACTCAGCCCCAATTACTTTACTGTTCAAGAAACTATGGACAACCTGGTCTAGTGAATTCACTAAACCATGATTTTTTTTTTCTCCCTCTGCAGTCTTTAGCAACACTCAAGACTTGGTCATGATAGTATATTCACACTTTGAGCATTTTATATTCAGTATGAGTCACTCAATAGGTCCTTATTTGATTTAATAATTGGGATGTATATTTGTCTTCAAAGACAAATTAAAACACAATGCGTGTAAAAATATAGGTAGAATTTTTGTAATGGAAATGTCTAATTAAGGTTCCATTAATGAGAAAAGACAGTTCATCCATCTGAGATACAAAATGACACATACAAAATGAGTTGCCATCTTACCAAATCTTGCCAAAGCTGAACCATTCAGCTAAATAACATGTCTTCCAACACATTCTTCCATGTGGGACTTTAAAGTGCTTCTCTTTTCACTGGAGTTTGCCAAATTGCTAATGTACACAAACACTGGTTGCTTGATTATAGCCACATAGGGAAAAAAAATATTTCAGACCATAAACTGATAACTTCTGTATGAGAAAGTAAATTTTTATCCCAAATATCACTACAATGATAAGTTTCCATAACCAGCCTTCAGTTTCTAAGATCAAATTTCATTGCTAAACTTAGCCGGGTCCCAAAAAAGTGTTCCAAAGGCCCTTGCTTCCCTCCTTTCCTTCCTTCTTTCTTTCTCTTTCTTTCCTTTCAGACACTTAAAACCAAACCTGTTGGACTTGTGATTCAGAAATAATACTTGTGATTCTGAAACAATGCTTGTGATTCAGAAACAAAACAAAAAAGAAGTAAATATATTTAAACCTGAATTGAACCTCAAAATGGGGCTCTCAGAATCATTGTTAATCACATCACACATCAACAGTACAAGACAAATTGAATACAAGTCTGTTCAGTAACTGCAAGAAATATTTAAATTGTTGATATGATACAGAAGATGAGACAAACATATTTTAGTAGTAAGAGAAGGAAAGTACCTACAAACAGGAACTAATTTTAGGTTGAATGCCTATGCAAACATCATGCACATTTTATTTGTATAGAAGATGTAAATAGAAAAGCAAAAACTCCCCTTCCTTAAGACTTCTATGCATGGTAATTTCATGTGCCCCAGCTTCTATTATTAATGAATATGAAAGAGAATAGGAATCCTTAACGTTAAAATGTTTCATCAACAGTTTTAGAAACTGCATTCTAGACTCAGCTTTTCCCTCTGATAAATGTCTTTGTCCTTTACAGATGAGTTCCAATGTGATACGCCCCTAGTGTGTAACTCCTGCTGTAAGACCTCAGTGAGAATGGGTGAGTCATGATGCCTTCATTGCTCCTTAATCCCATTATCCATCTATATCTCCTCTACCTACCTAAATAGCTTTATTACCCTCCTGATAGATTCACTCAGAAGCAGGAAATCAGCCTAGAGATCAGTACAACTGTAACAAATTTCTTATAATTTATCAGCTACCTAAATTATCAGCTACCCTGCTTGCAGGGACTCTTGAATTCTGCCAAAAAAATAACTTCATATCTTAGTGAATTTTGAGCAGATAAGGGGAACAGATCTAAACTTTTACGTCCTGCACCATGAATTTTGTCATGTATTTCCTATAGATACATCACATCCCTTGTTATTCTTTGTTTTTTCCAATTGTCTAAAAAAGTCTGCTTTTATACATGAAACATACAGGCACACATGCATATACAAACATGTGTACTCGCATATCAAATGTTCGTTTTATTTCCATGAATACTTGTGCGAGTTCTCACACACCCACATGCAGGCATAGTATTAAACCTCTATCACTTTGTTTTGTCCAATGAGTCTTGCTAGAATACATACCTTGTTCTTTCAGAGATCAGACTGAACTTCCATCTTCCTTTTTTCTTTTTTCTACAGAGGAAGAATTTTCCAGTGACTTCTTCACCTGGGCCAACAGTTCATGTACAAGATGTGTCATTTTTCTGTAGATCTCCATTGACTCTCTCCATGTTCTTCAGCTCAGACCACAAGATTTTCCAGTGCCATTTGCAACTTTCTCTCTCGCAACACAACTGTCTTGGAGCTATTAAAAAAAAAAAGAAAATAATTCTGTTCATATTTCCAGTAGTTTGGGGTTTTTTTGTTGTTTTGGTTTGGTTTTTAGTTTGTTAGGGGTTTTTTTGTTATAATTAGAAAATTGGCAATATTATTTACCGGAGAATAAAATTGTTCCATGTTTGTAGAAGTATTTTAATCTTCCCTTTAACTCCATTTCAAATTCAAAATCACCATGGGGTTAAAATATATATTCTTGCATTTAGCTGATAGATTGACATTTTTACGTATAATGGATTGCAATCATCTTATAAGGATTGAAAAATAACTGAAAAATTTACTTAATTGGGACAACTCATGAGACAGAGTTGCATATACTTTTGCTTTTTTTTTAAATTTTAAAAAGATTTTAATTGTCTTGACAATCAAAGAAGAATTAAGCTAATTATCCAAGACACTTCAGTTTCTGAGCAATAACTGCAGGACAAACAGCATGCTAAAAAGCAGTACTTGGGCTTTAATAATTAGCACCATGAAGCGGGGAATTAACAGTGAATTCTTCGTACACAAAATAACTGCAGTCTGTTGTGTGCCTATAAAAAAAATCACCCTAACCAGAAAGTGCCAGAATTTCAGATGAGGAATTAGAGAAGGGTGCCTCTTGCCCTTGCTTTCAGAACAAACATTTACTTCCTGTTTCAGCTTTAAAATAAGAATTAACTGAAGAACTTCTGTGTGATGATTACTGTTACAGAGGGAGAAAAACAAGAGGAACAAGCAAAAAAGAGATAGCATACAGAAGCCGGTCCAGCAACAGGACATCATGTTCAGTGTTTCTCGTTTACTGTAGCTCCCTTGACAGCAGAAATACTCTGTATACCAACTTTTGATTAGCATAAGTAAAAACATAGCATTAATTCCCAGAAGGCTGTCAGACATTCAAGGCGAGCAGGCAACAGATCCTATAAAAGCAGCTGACAATATATTAATAAATCAGCAGATCTCAAAGTATTTCCAAGAGTGCCAAATGACACTTGGAAAGTGACATAGTATCTAACTTCCCAATATACATCTTCCTGATGTTTTTGCATTGCCAAAACAAGGCAACAGCTTACCCATGTAAATAGTATTTTCTACTTTAGTAGCTTCTTACAGTACTTCTATAGCCAACTCAAAACACCTTTTATCTTAAATATAACTCAGTTGTCCGAGATTTCCACCGTATCTTGTAAAAATACCTTAAATGTTCATTATGATCCTTTTGATATTGAAGTAGTACCTGCCTACAATAAGTGAACACTGGAGCTCAATACTTCCTTACAATAGAATGCAATGCCACGTGCATATTTTCTCAGACGACATGAAGGCAATTGGCACTGAGTTTACAGAACACTACAACTGATGAAAAAGCTGTTGCTGCTCATCAAACAGTTAAATATAAAGCCCTTCCCAAAAGGCTGGCTAAGGACATTTATATCAAATAGCATGAGGGTCTCAAATCATGTAAAAATTATTCTTGGTAACCACATCACAGATGGTCCTCTCTCTCTCGGGGTCCAAAAGGACAGGGGGGAAAAAATACAACATGCAGCAGCTCTTAGGTGTCTACAAAACACAGAGAGGAGTGAAGAGGAAGGGGAAGAAGTAATCCCTTGCAGCCACAGAACAAATGCAAGGTCTTCATCACTCCCATTTTTGTATGTAGCCTGAGTGCCAAAATGGGTAGGGACCAAGAGGAAAAGCTGTGGTATAAATGTTTTTGATCCTCTGGTCCTACTAGGAGTCTAAATGGTAGTCAGAACAGTAGTGCTGCTAAGTTGGAGGAACTACAGAGGCATCACATCAGGCAGTCAAAATAAATCCACTATGTTTTGACACACTGCATAAATTATGTCCTCTTATGTACTACCACAGAGTGATGATAAAGAAAAACATGTTAAACCTGAAGCCAAGTCTATAATATCTCTTGAGCACACCGCAACATCGTCCACTTGGCACACTCACCAGGGAGATGAGTGAAATCTCCACAGTGATCTAATACAGCTGTTCACTTGACACTCTCAAGGTAAATTCCTGAACTTATGTTCAATTCAGGTCTTTGTCACTGCAAGCCTGGCTGCTGCCCTAGTAAAGAGCAGTTTCTCAAATAACTAAACTTGAAGCTCAGCTAACCAATAATGTCTTAATCAATCAAAAATTTGGTCCAACAAATAAACTGGTACATTCCTCTAAAGGCAACCGTATGGTTAGCCTGACAACCCCACCAATGAATTTGTCAGTAGCTCACAAAATGTTACACGGTATTAAGCAAGCTGCTGGAGCTCTGGCAATGAAGTCATGTTGGACCAGCTCCTTTCTGTACATGTCTGGATTTAATTCAAAACAAAATAGCACAGAATACATCAAATATATATACAAGAATAAAACCCGCAGTCTCTCCAGTTTGTCTGGATCTCTTTGTGTTGCTCTGGCCACATGGAGACCAGAAACCAACTCAGTTTCCCCAGCCAAGAACTTCCTTATGACTGCAGAACTGGTACAGAGCCCCTCTGGCAGACACAACGCTGGCACTTTTACTCCAGCTCCCAGCCCCAGCACAGGAAGCACAAGGGGCACTGCTGGGCTTTCTCTCTTCTCTGTTGGCAGGCGGCTATTTAGAGGCCAGCTGGAAGACTTTAGAATATCTCCAAGACTGCTATAAACTATAGTGGGTTGGCATAAAACTTGTTTAGGAATAAAATAGGACTGCAAAACTCAACTGTTCGTTTGTTTTCTCAGTTTTGCCCATTAGTTATCGTGTATTCTACTTTTTTTTTCATTCAATTTCTTTTCCTGTTGCAGTTTCCAAGATTTTAAAAGCTCTCTGAGAATATGAGAATTTGATATTTGAATTTATACAGAAGATCTTCATTACTGTGAATTTTCAAGTTGTCTTCATTCAAAAGACAAATATTAATAAGGAAAAGAGATTAGGTGTCCCCCTAAACCACCACGTTTGAGCTTTAAGCTTACTCAAGCCAAGCAAGCTTGGAGAATACTTTCTTTAGCTAGCTTTAATAACCTTTACATCTTTTCTCAGTTTCTGTCCCTACATGCTGAACTGTTTCCCTTTTTTCTGCTGGAACACCACTTGGCTTGGAGACTGGCAGTTAAATATAACAATTAGTGTCTGTACTGCATCCTGCAAATAGACGCTTACTTTCCTTTTTAACTCCTTAATGGTTGGATTGTTTTCTAACTTGCAGTTTTGATGCTACATGGCTGGCAATGCAACACGACTCTTTTGTACCAAGCTTCTTGTTCGTCAATACTCTCAATTTTCCTGAAAAACTGTTAGTAAAATGCCAGTCTGCATGTAAATTAAAAAAGACTGAAAAATCTTCTGTGGGTGGAGGACATATTAAAATAATATATTCATTCCTAGTGGCAATGTAGGAATAACAACTGTGTTTTGCCATTTGTCATAGCTTGGAATCACATCTATTAGCCAATAACGTCATGCACAAACATTATCCCCTTCAACACCAGAGTACTGTAGAAACATTAACTAGTTAATCCTCACAGTGCCACTTCCATGCATTTGGGAATTAATGTTATTCCTATTCTACAGGGGAAGAACTGAAGCCACGTTTCTTCTAAAGCATGCTACATTAGAAGATGCCATCTGCCTATGGCCGCAAAGCACTTCTCGCAGGCTACACTCACGGTGCTGGTAGCTAAGCTGGCTCTAAGAGAATCAACTTATGAATATCTAGAACAACTTCACTGTCAGCACAGGCTAAAAGGCAAAAAGATGAATGCTTTCTGTGTTTAAGCACATGGAAAAATAAATACAGCAACAATTATTGCTATGTAGATAGACTGTGCTGGTGTCTCCCATCATCTGCAAGATAATCACACCATTTAAGCAAATGTTAACTTCAGCAAGACATTTAGATATTGACTTAATTTCTGAGTAATTGCTCATAAATTGCTTGCCTAAAACTATTACTATAAGCAAAGCTTGAACGAGGCTTCTCTTGTTCTGCACACTCTTCAGTTGGGTACCCAATGGTGTACTTCAGAACTACTGCAAAAAGAACTCAGACTTCAGTGTTTTCCAAGTGTATGTGAAGAACCAGCCCTTACATAAACTGATTCCCTGGAAAACTCTTATGTTTCAGGTAAAGATCCACTTGTAAATGTGCTCTATTCTGTTGCAGATATACCTCTGCAATATGACAAAAGCCAATAAAGTATCTGCCATACTCCACAGTTCCTTTTCGATAAGATGCTTATCAAGCACGTGCACACAGCAAGCAGGCAGAAGCAATCATTAGGAAATACACTCCACTTCTGTTCTTTGAAGCTGAAGCATACACTCTGCTGTATCCCCTTCGTGTGGCAAGTCACCATTTCAGGTACTGCTTTTCCACCATCAGGCTCCCTTCTCCTTCAAAGGATTTAGTATCCTTCTTTTGTTAAGTAGAAGAGGAACTGATACAGAGTTAAGAATTACCATGGAAAAAGGCCAACAATTAGGGAAGGGAAGGAGAAAGAGTGAAAGATGTGCACAGAGCATGTCAGGGGGCATCAAGGGGCAGCTGATCTGCAAAGGAAGGTGAGCTCTGGGAACAAGTGCAGCAATAAGTTTCACACAAACTTCACCAATGAGAGCCAGGATGTAGAGCAGCAAGTCCAGGTCAGGGGCAGAGATGATGGTCAGAGTCAATCACCCAGCAAGCCTGTAGTGATTAGGCAGGACTGTTCCTTGTGAGGAAAATAAAACTGTTCTGAATCTACCCTAGAGGATCTAATGGTAGGATTATCTGCTTATGAAACAAGAAGACAGACTTTTCCCCTTCTGCTGACCAGAAGACAGTTCTTTACCTTAGAGAAGAGACAGGCCACTCTAACACATGTTGCCATCACGCACAAAGCAGAACACTGATATCACACTGAGGGAAACGCTCACATTGCAGGGAAAATGCAGCTCTTACAATGGATGAAAATACACTTACCAAGCACAGGAAGACCTGGGCTAT